AAAGAGTGCGTCATCCTGTCAGCAGTGAAGGAAGCCAAAGGAGAAGTCTCTTCATGCTGTTTCCCATGGTGAACAGAGAAGTTAGCCTGTTCTGATATTTTGCCTAACACTTAATTTGAACAGTATATTTTTAAGTATATTTCCTCCCTAAGAAAATACAGTGGTGCACAATTGGAAGGAAAGTCCTTTATAGAGGGACTATAGACTGCCAATCACCTGAAACAGTTAACCAGCCCAGGCTTTGGTAGCTTAACTGCATGCAGTGGAACGAGAACATTTGTTCTGAGGTAGCTAACAACCTACTTACTTTGCAGCAGGTTACCAAATGAAGAGTGGGTTTCTCAGTGCTTTGCTGTGAATTTTACTTCTACAGGTATTTCTCCACTCAGCTGAATCTCATCAGCAATCCCACCCAGCTGATAGGAGAAGCAGCACTCTCTGACATAATGCCAAAGCAAACAGCTGGAGCACCTCAGCAGGCCCATGCAGCTTTTCTGCAGCTGTATATACCTCCAAGTTGGCTCAAAACCCCTCTTTTTTGCAGGAACTTAGGAGACCTGATCTTGCAAAGAACCCAGGTTCTACTGTATTTGGCCAGTGCTGCAGACTGTGCCCATTATATCAAATGTAACAACATTTAGGTTTGCTTTTACTTGCTTGAGCATAATTTCATTTGTCATTTATAACATTAAACACTGGTCATTTCAGCTTTCATAAACAGCATTCCTGTTGTTAAATATCACAGAAGCCAGAACAACAATGGCTGTGTTCAAACGAGCATGGACACGCAGTATGTGGTGCTGCAGACCCATCTGTGGTGCCACACAATGCACATACAGGCATTCCTTGCACTCCTACCTTGCAGCGTGTGAGGGCTTTTTGACCCCAGGAGATTCCAGGGTCAAAAAAACGCACTCCAAAAGAAAGCAGGGAGCACTGCCCAAAACTGGAGCTTGGCTGGCCAGAGCCATGTTCCAGTTGCCAGTCAGGTTTCCCAGCTGTAGAAGCACCATAGCTGCAGTACCCTGAGGCCCCCAGGTAAGGCTGCTGGGGCCAGCACAGTCACTGACCCCATCCTTCCCTACCCCACCCAAGGTAACCTGCCATGCACCACAGCATGCATAGCACAACTGTTCCCCAGGGACAAGTAGTAGTGGCACAAAGTGTGCTGTTGCTACTTATCCCCAGGGAAACAAACATTCATGCTCATCTGGACACGACCAATGACTGCAAGTGGCACTCACCTAGCCAGTTTCCGGTAAGTTTTAGATTTACAATTCATTGCCGCGTGGATCAACAACTGGTTGAAGATATCTTTCTGGAAAGAGAAAAAATGCACTATAATATTTGGTAACAAACGCTGTAGGTAGCACTTTCTTTTCTTGCTGATGGAACACATTAACCAGCTGAAATGTAGCACTTCCACTTGACAGAAAATTCAGAAATGGGCTACATTACACTCTAGGAATTGAAAATTAAAAAAGGAATCTTACACATAACATAACATAGCACCCAGAATCTATTGAAAGACAATTTAATAACAGTCCTTACCTGAGCATTGCTGCCACCTATCTGTGGGATCTGGTACCGAATTGGATAAAGCAGTTCTACTGCCTTGTCATAATTTTCATTGTCAAATTCTACAAAAGCTTGACAAAGGGGCAATCCCAGATTCGGAACCAGGCCATGCTCATAGTCTTCACCAGGATTCCTGTGAAACAAGAAGATATTTAACTTCCAACAAGCAGATCAGGCTTCAGCAGTTGTTCTTTTTTCAGTAGTGTTTCATGTTCTACTGGTAGGTAGTATTGCTTTACAGCAGCCCAGCGTAACTGAAGGATTAATCATGCACAATGCCAGACATACATAACCTCATGAACAATTTGCTTACAAACATCCATAGTTGTTCTTAACATTTTTAAAATTTCAGCCGTTTTAATTATATGAGCAAACCACATTTTGATTACGTTAATACCTTGCTGGACCCAAGAACTGGACAATATTCAGGGTCTTGTAACTTTTTCTTTTTCCTTTAAGAGGGGAAAATGATGATGGATCAGGTATTTATCTCATGAAGTACTGTTAACTTACATGTTCAAAATCCTATTTCCCCCCACCAAAGGAGGAATCAAACAACAGGATGTATCTTCATAGTTTCATAGTTTCAGGGTCGGAAGGGACCTAATAGATCTTCTAGCCCAACCCCCCGCCAGGGCGGGAGAACAACCCAAAAAAAAAAAACAAAAAAACACCCCTCCCCCTAAAAACAAAAACGGGACTCAAATGAGTCCAGCCAGGTAAGTATCCAGCCTCTTCTTAAAGATCCCCAGGGTAGGGGCCAGCACCACCTCCCTTGGAAGTTGGTTCCAGCTCCTAGCCGCCCTAACTGTGAAGTAGTTTTTTCGGATGTCCAATCTGTACCTCCTCTCCATCAACTTGTGCCCATTATTCCTTGTTATGCCAGCAGGGGCTAGGGGAAACAGCGTCTCCCCCAAACCCTTCTGGTTCCCCCTAGTGAGTTTATAGACGGTCACCAGGTCCCCCCTCAGCCTTCTCTTGTGGAGGCTGAATAGGTTCAAGTCCCGCAGTCTCTCACTGTAGGGTCTGCCCTGTTGTCCCCGGATCATGCGGGTGGCCCTCCTCTGGACCCTCTCCATGTTGTCCACATCCCTCCTGAAATGGGGCGCACAGAACTGGACACAATACTCCAGCTGCGGCCTGACCAGCGTCGCCTAGAGGGGGAGGATCACCTCCCTGGCTCTACTCGAGATGCTCTACTCTTGGCCAAAATCTCTTCTTCTAAGCAAATTCCATGCTTTTGGCTCAGTGTTACAGTACAAGTGCTGTTTTGCCTATTTATTTTGTGCTTGTTTTGTTGCTGTGGTGGTTCCGATTGCATTTTGTGCAGCTCCAAAAAATATCCAGCAAAATATCCAGTTTTATTCAATATCTTTATCAATGACCTGGAAGACGGGATGGAGTGGACCCTCAGCAAGTTTGCTGATGACATCAAGCTAGGCAGAATAGTAGATATGCTGGAGGGTAGGGCTAAGATTCAGAGTAACCTAGACAAAATGAAGGATTGGGCCAAAAGAAACTTCATACCGTTCAATAAGGACAAGTGCAAAGTCCTGCACTTAGGATGGAACAATCCCATGTATCGGTAAAGGCTGGGGACCAAGTGACTAAGCAGCAGCTTAGGACCTGGGGGTTACACTGGATGATAAGCTGAATATGAGCCAACAGTGTGCCCTTGTTGCTGAGAAAGCTAACAACATACTGAGCTGCATTGGTAGGAGCATTGCCAGCAGATCAAGGGAAGTAATTCTTCCCTTCTATTCGGCACTGGTGAAGCCACATCTGGAGGACTGTTGTCCAGTTTTGTCCACATCCACTACAAAAAGGATGTGGACAAATTGGAGAGTCCAGCAGCAGGCAACAAAAATGGTTAGGGTGCTGGGGCACATGACTTATGAGGAGAGGCTGAGGGAATTGGGCTTATTTAGTCTGGAGAAGAGAAGACTGAGGGGATTTAATAGCAGACTTTAACTTCCTGAAGGGTGGTTACGAAGAGGATGGAGTTGGACTGCTTTCAGAGGTGGCAGATGACAGAACAAGGGACAATAGTCGCAAGTTGCAGCAAGGGGAGTTTAGGTTAAATATGAGGAAAAACTTTGACGGTAGTAAAGCACTGGCACAGGTTACCCAGAGAGGTGGTAGAACCCCATCCTTGGAGGTTTTTAAGACCCAGATAGACAAAGCCCTGGCTAGGATGATCTAGTTGGGGACAATCCTGCTTTGAGCAGGGAGGTGGACTAGATGACTTCCTGAAGTCCCTTCCAACCCTAATTTTCTATTATTCTAAACCTCTCTGTCCACACAGCTCAGCGTTGCATATGACCCATGTTTAGGGCAGTAGATACTTATACTTTTAGTCTTGCACTTATTAGTTCAACAAACTTGGCTTCATCCAATCGCACCTCAGTGTTACATGATACATTTGCATTTGAGATTATTAGTCATTTGTGGGCAGATTTATCCAATCAAGACAAGGGAAAGGCAAGAAAAAGATGGAAAAACTGGAATTCATTTGGACTGGAGAAGAGATGACTGAGTGAAGCTCCGCTAAAGATCTTCCAATGCAGAAAAGGTTGTTATAAGAGGATGGCAGTAGACTATTCTGTGTCCACAGGGGACAGGACAAGAAGGAATATTATTAATTAATTTTAATGTTACAATTTAGGTGGTGGCACTGAAGCCATGAAAATAGTTTCGACAAGAATAGTCCATTCTCTGAATAGAGCATTTATCGAGTACAGCAAGTTACAATTTAAGCACAAGACAAAAAAACATCAGAAATGTCCAATTTTTGCCCAAATGAAGAAACAACAGAAACTTTGCCTAAGTCAAGAAATGTAAGTCTTGAATAGTCCTGAGGACAGAGTGTCTCCCTGCAGCTGGCTAGGTAAGAGTCTCTGGGATATGCAGTTCTCTTCAGCAAATGGGCCAAGGGCGCACAGTTTTCATTTTTGCTTGTTCTTTTAAGGGTGGTCTACATCTGCTTCTCCCTCATGGTTGCTTTGACAAGGGCACATTTGGTTTTGCCCCCTCTCAAGATGTTTATCTGCTGGTTTGCTGCCTTTCTATAAGGTTTTCCTGTTTTCCCTGGCTCTTGTCGGATTTAAATTGCAAAAAGGTACTTTCTCACTATGAGAGTGGTTAAGTAGTGGAATAGATTATCTCAAGATGTTTCTGAATTGCCATCACTGGAAGTCCTTACCATATTTTTCCTCACATAAGAGAAACCCCCAAATAAAACACGCCTTGTTTTTTGGAAGGCAGAAGGTAAAAAAAGATTTCCCCAGAATCATGGTAAACTGCGTGACAAAGTATGTCTTCCTGGGAACACAGAGCGTCTAGGAAGTATGACTTCCCAGCAGACAGTCTGGAGGCAGCAAGAACTTTTGGTGCCAACTATCTCATTCAGACCATCTCCTCTGCTGCCACACTTCCTGAACACTATGTTTCCAGGACTGATGTCATACATAGTTAGGCCCCAGGACCTGGCAAGAGCAGTAGCAAAACTGTTAATTTTTTATTGTAAGTAGTTCTTTATAGAAGTTCTTGTAAATAAAGTGATTTTTCCACATCACAAGCCCCAACAAGATACTGCCAGCAGCTCGCTTGCTGCTTCAGGCACAAGCTACAGTGCTTGGGCAATAACTATAGCTGTGAGAGGTTTAATGTGGGACTCTGCCCCTTCAGCTTGCTGAAACAAAAGTGGCAGCCATCTTGGCAACTGCATGGCATGCACAGTGTCTCCAGGTGTGATTCTTTTCAGCAAAGAAAGCAACCACCCTGCTTAAAACACACACCCCAATTGAGGGGGGAGAGCATAGATTGGGGAGAAAGGCAAGTATGTATGTAAGAAAATATGGCAAGAAAACATTAGCCCAAGGGTGCTTAATCTGTGGCACAGATGTCACAAGTGGCACAAACACCTCTGCATGTGGCATGCAGCGAAATGGAGATGGGACAGGCCTTTTTACTGGCAGATATGGTGTGGAGTAGAAAGAAGAGCATCAGATTAGACAGGGACAAGAGGGCAGGAAGCAGAAAGCAAAGCAACAGGGCTGTTGCTACCTGGAGCAGGGGACTGGCCTAGATGACTTGAGGTCCTGTTTTTTATGATACTATGAAGGAATGTTGCTATCAAATAAATATCCAGCTATGATAGGGGTCCATCCCTGGGACCGTCTAATGTAGGCCAGACCCTCTGTCTCTGGGCTACCTACCCACCTTTCTCGCCTGCCATGCCTTGATGGAACAATAATTATGATGTTACTCAGGTGGAAGGCTGCTCATTTACTACCCCGACGCTAAGGGTCACTATCCACTGCTTCAAACCTCCCCAACACGGTGGCCCACGCCTTGTAGATGTTATATAAATGTTGACTTGCACCCTAGGGTGCTGGGTGTGCTCACTCCCTGTTGCCACGCTCCCTGGTGATGCGCCTTCTGGTGCTGGGGTCTGCCCACCCCCTGTCACTGTGCCTCCTGGCACTGGGGCCTGCCCTATCTCTGCGCCTCCTGGCACTGTGCCCTGGTCTGATCATCCCCTGTTGTTGCACCCCCTGGCACTGGGGTCTGATCACTACCCTGGCGCTGTGCCCCCTGGTGCTGGGGCTTTGTACAGTAGTGTGCCCCAATGAGGCCTCCTCCTCCCCCAGTAGCCTCAAACTGCTCCACCAGATAAAACAACAACATAAATATGAGTCCCTGAGCTATAACATAATACAAGTCCTACAAGCCACACTCTGGCTCCTTAAAAATGCTAAACTACTTCTTGAGTATTGAGTACCTCCCAGCTCTGGGTACCTTGTAGACTCCTGGAGCCTCATTCGCCACCGCAGCAGTCTGGCCAGCAGCCACAGCATTCCTGGGTAGTTCTGCCGTGCAGGAGGTCTCTTCCCCTGGCCACTTGCCAGAGACCTCCTCCTGCCAGCCTTGGCCCTGGGGTTTATATGTGCCCAGAGGCCTATCCCCTTCTTGTCAGCTGACCAGCCTGGGAGGTTGAGCTATTAACCCCTAGCCTCCTGGTGCTTGGTGTTGCTATAGACTTGGGTCTTAAAGGGGCAGCCCCGCCTCCTAGTAACAGGGCTAGAGTTCCCTGTTATACCAACCATAATAGATTAGAAATCCACTTTGTTG